GCTCACATCATAGACAAAATTATGATTTACTATTCAACACTAGATAAAAGACAATATGAAAAATGAACTAGAAATAAGATGGCAGAACTCAGAAAATAATTCAAAATTAAGAAAAATCATTTCAAAAATAAAGACTAAAAAAGAAAAACAAAGTTGAAAACCTCCCACAGATAAGGCATTATAATGGGGATTAGCAAAAACTATGACCCATGCACCAAATCTGGCCATAATCTGTTTTTACAAATAACATTTTATTGAAACACAATCAATGGAAAACTTCATGGTACAAAAGCACACCTGAGTATTTGAAACAGAGACTATATAGGCACAAAGCCTAAAATACTTAATTGTCTGGCCATTTACACAAAGTGTTTCCCAACTCCTACAATAAGAGAAATGGAAGGTAAAAGAAGAAATATTTGAAAAGCAAAATTAAATTAAAAAAAAATATATATATATATATAAAATTTATTTATTTATTTTTTTAAGGATATAAGAGTGACCGTTATCAGTGGCTCTGGGAGGTAAGTACAGGCAGTTGTAATTTAAATGGGCAGGGTTTCTATTTAGGATAAATGTTTTAGAAATGGATACTGAGAATGTTAATGCCATTGGAGTATACACTTTGAAATGTTAAATTTTATGTTATATATATTTTATCACAAAAAAAGAGCAAGTGACAAATTTGGAAGACAGGCAAAGTTCCAATATACATAAAACCAAGAAAAGAATACTAAAAATTGTAATTTAAGAAAATTTGTATGCATATATGCATAACCCATGGACACAGACAACAGGATAGTGAAGGCATGGAACAGAGAGTGGGGGTAGCCTTGCAAGGGTCAATGGGGGAAAAAGGGAGATATATGAAATACTACCAACAATAAAGATTTAATTAAAAAAATAAGGTAAATACTATGAAATCTCATAATTCAATGCTTTGTTAAAAGCCTTTTTTAAGACCTCACCTAAATTTTTCTTTAAAAAGGAGACCTCATCCTATCCTATATAATAAAAGAGTAATATGCAAATAGACCAATGACAGAACAACCCAACAACCAATCAAAGCATAATATGCTAATGATGTTAAGGCTGCTCAAATCCTTGCTATGAGGTGCACTGACCACTAGGGGGGCAGATGCTGTGAAGGATAGGTTAGCTTGCTGCTGAGGTCTGGCCAATCGGGACTGAGCGAGATGGGCCAGACATGCCCCGGAGCCCTCCCGCAGTCCCTCCCTGGCCTGATCATGCACCACACCAGTGGGGTCCCAAAGCCTGGCCTGTGCCCTCTTGCAATCCAAGATCCCTTGGGGGATGTCGGAGAGTCAGTTTCAGCCCCATTCCACAGGCAAAGCCCCTTGGGAAGGCGCCAGATGCAGGCTCATGGCTGGTGAGCGCTGCTGTGGCAGCCTGAGCCTCTACCAATCAGGGCTAACTAGGTGTGAGTCTGCGGCAGGCACAGAAGGGCTGGATGAGCAGGAGCAGCAGGTGACTTTGGACTGCAGGTTTTGGCCCAATCCCTGCAGGCTGCCCAGAGGGACCCCACCCATGCACAAATTCATGCACTGGGCCTCTATCAGAATATATTGGCCCTTTAACAAAATTATGTCACTAGTGGGCATTAAAATAAGAGGATATCATCACTCTAAATTGATATTGACTGCAGTCTTTGAACAACAGAAAACTGGGGGTCAAAGATCTTATCAGTAGAAGTCTTACATAAACTCCAGTCAACAATATAGGACTGGGTCATTCTGATATAGTAGCCATCTTAAGACGGCATTAGAAATAGTGTTTTGAGAACTGTATCAAAAATGGGAACTGAAGATGTTTTTAATTGTGAATACGGTGATTCCACTGACTCTAAGCCATATTTTAAACAAATAATTATCACAGTCCAAGATAGGGGAGAAAAGATTCTTAATTGTGCTACTTGTAGAGAATTTTGGTTACTCTTACGATAATATTTTTTAAAAGTCATAAGGTTTAAATGTGATTTCTGAGATCTTAAAAATGGATTCATTTCATTCTATAGAACTGTAAACTCATTTTAAAATATAAATAAAGGCATTAATTAATTAATCTTTATTTGACTAGCTAGTTTTGACTGATCTTTTAAATCCCTGCTGTAAAATCTCTATCTGGAAAGACTTCCTTATGTGCTAAAATCAGGAAAAATGTTCCTATTATCTGCTCCAATAGATAGTATAATAATGTACTTTTTCTATCACTTTAGGTTACACACTTTGTGGGGCTTTGTTATTATTGTTCTTATCTAGCCTTCCCTACTAGACTGTAAGCTCTATAAGGGCTTATTTGCCATTTCAAAATTGTATTAGTATTTAACACCTGTTCTATGATATTAAAATATTTGTGAAAAATAAACTACAAGTTTTAAACTTTACCATCCATCCAAGAGATTGTACCTATTTCCTATCTTTAAAACAGCTATTCAAGGACAATTCAATGAACAGCATTCTAATCAACTAACAGTCAACTGAGAATTACTGAGAATTACTTTAACGACTCAAATGATACATGATAGAGAAGACTAGATTTAACAAAGCTTTAATGCTATACATAGAAACATGAAGTATGGTAAACTGACTCTAGGGTGGTATGTTTTTATACCATGGAGAGTTCTGTTTTTGTTTTATCTGTTTTCCACAATTGAACTAAACAATTCGGTAACAGCCAGTTCAAGGTTGGATTCTCAATAAATACAACATAATTACAGGACTAAAACAGAATAAAAGGTAACTTATGACAAACAGAAGTGATTTGGAAGATATGTTCTACTTCATGTGTGGCTAATCCTAAACAAGTTCATTGTTACACAAATAAAGTAAGTATCATCTGTGGTTACTTACAATGGAGTAAGCTGAGGAGTGACAAGACTTGTGAGACGATGTTAAAATAGTCAAATTTGGAATAAAGTATGCAAAAACAAACAACCTTGGTTAATTTATAACACCAGGCACAGGCCTTGCATTTGGCCTAAAGAAAAAGAAATGCTATTTCATCTAAAATAAGCAGTATCCTGTAGCAAATGCCTAGTTAGATGAGAGTCTGTTTATGATCCAACTCACTACATTTCCAACAGTAATGCCTACTTGCCAGGAATGGATCTAGTAATCTACTAATGAATTCCTGTTTCTCATATTGTTGATCATGGCCCATTAATGAGTCACAAACAGCATTTGTAAATAATGAAATGTTATAAGATATAAAATATCAGAGTACAACACATGTAGTAAGGGAAAGTATTGTTTTCTGAAACTTTTGATTCAATTTGTGTGTGTGACAATGTAAAATATGTTTCTAACTATTGATTGCAATAAAAAAAAAATATGTGAATCTACTCAGAAATATATACCCCCAATTACCTCCTTTCCCCAAAACTGGGAGAGTAGAAATTCTCCATCACTATTGCTCACAAAAAGTAAAAGTGAATTCAACCCAGATATCGGTTATAATAGTTTAAATTTGATTTCACAAGCTCTAAAAAAATCAAACTGTTTTGAGTTCAAATCCAGATTCCACTACTTTCTGTGCGAATCTGGACTTATTTAAACAGGATGTGCTTCACTTTTGTCATCTGTAAAACGAGGGTAAGAATATCTTGCAAATTTTGGTAACAATAATAATAACATCATACAGTAAGTTCTTAACAAATATTTTGCCATTAACAGAACAAACTGAAGGCATGATAGATACTAGAAACAGCAAAAAAACAACAGAAGTATCACAGTCATTTCGGCTGTGGGAATATGTCCTTTGTTTTGTTTTATATTTCTGTAGCTTATAAAAATATACTAGATGTTTTTAAAATTACAAACCTAATTCCAAGGTTTGTGAATTAGAACTTTTTCTTGAGAACTTCTGTGCCAAGTGCTTCTCACCAACTACTCACACAATCTCAGTATATAATTTCTGCCCATGAGCAAACAGAGGCAACTGAGATGAGCTAAAGTCTGTGTCAGACAAGCAACAAACAGCAGTCAGTGTCCAGGACTTAAATCCTACAGTTCTATTATCACATAACACATCCAAATATTCTTCTCCAAGTTGTTCCCTATAGCGATAGTTTGATCTACCAATTCAAGACTGTAAACCCGAGAAAGGGGGAAAGTTTCACAAACTTCATTTTTTGCCTTTCACTGGCTTACCAAGACTAGGAACAGAGAAACACTTGTTGAGTCACCTTCAACCTCTTTTGTTCTACACTCTCCTCCTGGGACGTACCCTTGTTAAAAACTAAAGAAGCCAGCAACCAAACGACAAAGCTCCTCTGAGCCTGCCAAAATCTAACTTTGTTCCTACATGGACAGAACCGAAAAAGTTTACGCATACCCACATCCAGAGACTCCCACGCAGGGGATGTGGACATGAGTACAAACATCACTAAAAAAAAGAATGGGTTCCCACGTTCCCCTACCACGCCCCCGTCACCCAGGCTCTAAGGCAGTGAGTGTTTCCCAAACTTCTCTCAAGATGAGAATCACCTGGTGGAGTTGTTTAAAAAACACAGACTCCTGAATCCCAACTAAGAAGTGCTAAACTAGAATTTTTGGGAACATATAGGTAAAACGTGTATACTTAACTAGAACATATAGGTAAAATTGTATACTTAATTGTATACTTAATTGTATACTTAATTGTATAATTGTATACTTAAGCTTAGAGCACTAGTTAAAATTAGAGCACTAATTTTAGCTATATGTACCCAAAAATTCTAGTTTAGCACTTCTTAGTTGGGATTCAGGAATCTGTGTTTTTTAACAACTCCACCAGGTGATTCTCATCTTGAGAGAAGTTTGAGAAACACTGCTCTAAGGAAAGGAACCCCCGTCCCACAGTCTCCCCAATCTCTGGGTGAGGAGTTCCAGACCCATAGCCACGCCCCCATCTTGTTCCATCACAATAACTTGTTTTCTTTCCCTACCGGGGACCCCCTAAGTCCTTGACATCAAAACCCTTTTTTAAGAAAAGTTTCTGACCTGCAGCGAAGTGCAGGGGGGAAGATTTCCGGCCGGCCATGTCCTTGGCGTTCACGTTGGCCGCGTCCACCAGCCTCTTCACCCGGGACACGTCCCCATTGCGGCAGGCCTCCAGCAGCTCCCGCAGCGCCCCGCTCACGGCGGGGACCCCCGGCCCCGGCCCCGCCGCCCCGGGCCCCGCGGCGGCCGCGGCGGCGCTCAGTCCCGCCGCCTCGGGGCTCTCCGCCAAGCTCGATCCGGGGGAGGACGGAGAGGAAGAGGAGGACGAAGTTGGGGAAGACGAGGACGACGGTGAATTATTATGACTGCCCCCGCCGGCTGGGTTGGGAGGGACTCCGACGGCAGATGCGGCGGAAACCACGGGTACCACGGGAGCGGTGGCGACGGGACAGATTGTGCCGGTGGTGTTGCCACAGCCGGTGCCGTCCACCGGGTCCGGGGATCGGGGCCTGTCGGGCGGATCCCGACTGCCATCCCCCTCGGGCAGCGCTAGGCCGTGCCTCGGGGAGGCGAAGGGGGCCAGGCCGCCCGCCGTGGGAGAGGCTGGGGTAGTCCCCGGGGCCAGGCCCGGGCTGAGTGGCGGGGGAGGTGGCGGCGGCGGCGCCGAAGCCCCCGGGGCGGGCTGGAGCTGCTGTTGATGATGGTGGTGATGATGCTGAGAGCGACGCGACGCCGCCATCTTCGGACTCCCCGGGCACTGTCACTGCGGCAACGGCCCCCACAGCCCGCCCTCACTTCCGGCCTCCGGACCAATCAGCGTCCAGCGCACAGGAAATGATGCTTGGCGGAGTGGGCGGGGTCAGGGAGAAGTCGGGAAGTATTGGGAGCTCGGATGACGGCCGCGGAAGGGGGCGTGGCCGTGTGGCTGGGAGGAGGGCTCTGTGACGCCTGGGCGGGCTGGCGGGGACATTTGAAAGCTCCCAGCAGCATCTACCTAAATGGGAAACTTTCCTGCATCTCTCGCTTTCAGCTTGCTTACATCGCCCTGCTCCGTCCTCTGCCCAAGTCTCCTTTAATGTTCCTGATCTCGCCCAAAACGTGCTCTTCCGGTGTAATTCAGTGCGGGAAGAGAAAATGTCGTTTTTTTTATCTAGCCATGGCCCTCGTTTGAAAAATGGAATATTAGCGACCTCACAGAATTGTTCGCGGGGTTCAATGAGCTAACATATATGCAAAGCACTGTGTCCGTTAATAAAGCATAGCTGTAATCAGTCCCTTGGTAATTCAGTCTTCTCCCCTTCCCCTTCCCCGGAGATCTCTTGATCTCAATAACCCTTCTCTATTATATACTTTTAAAAATATATACGTTTTTATTGATTTTTAGAGAGAGAGGAAGGGAGAAGGATAAAGAGATGGAAACTGATGAGAAACATCATCCGCTGCCTTCTAGACGCACCCTTACTAGGGATGGAGCCTGCAAACCATGGCATGTGCCTGACTGGAAATTGAACCGGCGATCTGTTGGACCCTGGGTCAACCAACGCTCAACCGCTGAGCCACACTGGCTGGGATGTCCTTTTTTTTTTTTTTATTGTTTTTATTTCAGAGGGAGAAAGAGAGGGATAGAAATATCAATGATGAGAGAGAATCATTGATTGGCTGCCACCTGCATGCCCCCCACTGGGGATTGAAGCCACAACCCCTGCATGTGCCTTGACCAGGGTCCAACCTGTTCTCCTGGTTCATAGGCTGATGCTCAACCACTGAGCTACACTGGCCAGGCTGTGTACTTTCTTAATACTCTCTTTTAAAATAGTGATTCTGATTTCCACAACTGGAATTCAAGCTCTGTCATTTACTAGCTGTGTAAATTTGGGCAAGCTATTGAACTATGTGGTGTCTACCATTCCCCTCTGCAAAATCAAATTAGTAGTTGAATAGATGTTAACTATTACAGTTATGATTTTTTTCTGTTATCTCTGTACTTTTGTATCTCACCGTAAGCTCGACTCAAATCATTGTGGATATGTACCTTTTGTTTTAATTCTTTTTAACTTAATCTGTCCTCTCCTTTCACCTCTCCTCCCCCCTCTCAAACAGGACTATCCATCACTCTTCTTCAGATGTCATTTTCAGCAACTATTTTTTCTCTTCTGTCTATACCAGTGGTCAGCAAACTGTGGCTTGCGAGCCACATGTGGCTCTTTGGCCTCTTGAGTGTGGCTCTTCCACAAAATACCATGGCCTGGGTGAATCTATTTTGAAGAAGTGGTGTTAGAAGAAATTTAAGTTTAAAAAATTTGGCTCTCAAAAGAAATTTCAATCATTGTACTGTGATATTTGGCTCTGTTGACTAATGAGTTTGCCGACCACTGGTCTATACCTACTATTTTGGAATAATCTTAGTGAGGTCTCCGTTTCCTGCCCCCTGTTCAATAGTAAATTGGCCATTGTGGGAGTCTGCACAAACAGCATTATTCCAATAGGATGGACATATATGGAGAATTCTGTGTGTTAAGGAAAAACAAGGTTAACATGGGTCAAACAGAAATTTTGCATCGAAGAATATTAAAACAGGTGATAAATTGTTTCACATGTTATTAATATAATAAATGTGATGTTCATATTCCTACCTTATAAAAAAGTAAGTTTATTTAGAGCTACCATCTAAATACAAGGTCAGGAACATTTATTGTCATCTAATATGGGTTTACTGATTATCACTATAACATTATTCATCTTTCATAAATGTGTGTCATTGTTCATAAATTGGCAAATATGTGGCTGGATAAGAAAACTTCATCAGCGCAACTGAAATCTGTCCACAACACACGTTCTCCTTTTCTTGGATGTTAAATTAGTGCACAGCAGAAGGTAGCTTTAAAGAGTAGGGGTGAGTCAGCATAATACCTAAGATGTTTATAACTCACTGGGGAGGAATAAGGAGTATCTCATCTTGATCCCCTATTGGCCAATTATTCATAAATCACCAGAAGTAGCAATGCTCGCCTTAATTTAAAATGCATCTCTCATGTCTGTTTATCAGTGTAAAATAAATAAGAAAATTTCTGCTGCATAGAGATGAGAAGGCTGAATTGCCTAAAACTGCTGGTAAACTTTCTGAAAATGCATTCAATCAATTGGAAATGGCCTTTTTCCCCTCCAGTAGAAAGTAGTAAAAGTACTTAACATTAAGTATTTATATGGTTTAGGTTTTTATGGGTTAATGTTAAGTTCTAAATACAAAAGGGCAGATATCATTACCTAATCTTTTACAGCTAAATGCAATTCCATGAAGAATGCACAATAACCTAGTGGAAAAAACAAAGTATGGTGTCGAACAAACCCGGGCTGGAGTCACATCTCTGAAGATTACTAGTTGGCTAATCTTGGTAGATATACTTCAGCTCTGTCATTCCAAATTCTGACTTCATTGCAGTGTATCATGAGAATTAAGACCTGGATATTTTATAAGTACTCCTTGAGTGTTAGTTTCATTCTCTTATGTGGCATAGTTTCAATAGGAACTCATAGCCACTGTTGATAGCTATCTCCTCACAACTTCCTTTATGAAAAAGATGGTGATGGGAATAGATATTCATCATTTACACATAACAGGAATTTTAAGAAAAGAAAAATCAGGTTTGTCTCCTCATCAGAAAATTTAAGATTTTATACAGTCCCTAATATCTCCAAGAATAATTGTTGAGGACCATTATTGTGTAGTATCTTATCATTTTCAAAACTGTTTTCAGAAAAATCATGTCCACGTGGTTTAAAAGTGTAGCACATAGCCATATTATTGATGCAAAAGAGCCACCAACTCAAAGAGCCCTCTCCTTCTGGACCACATCGAGATGTTTGTTTTCCCCCAAGGGTATTGTATAAATACACATTGTAAGTTTCAAAGTCATACACTTGCACAGTCTTCATATTTCACTAGCTTTGGTATGAGTATTTCATTCATATTTTTCTCATTAATCTTTCCCAAATCCAAGTTCATTGGTAGAAACTCGCATTTTTTAAGTCCGCCAAGCCATGATGAACTTAATGCCTGCAAGTTGTGGATCACCAAATAGTGACCGTGGGGAAACGCTTATCCTGGTGAAGATTGGAGCAAAGACATCTGTGAGCAGAAACCATCAGACCTACTGGATGGGAATAAGTGGCAGCCAACCAGGAGGAGAGATACTAGTCAATACCTGAACATGTCGTGCATGCCTTCCACCCACTGTCTCTTCCTGCTTGCTTGCAGTTGTTTGGTTTGTTGAAGGAAATAAATGAATGAATGCTATTTGAGTTCAGTGATGTTTGTGTGCAATTTCTCTTGGTATTGCCTACTCCTTCATATCGTGTCTTTGTTTTGATGTTGCTGCTCAGAATTAAACATTAAGTAATCCAGAAGAACTCTTAACCTCTCTGTAAACTCATCTGCAAGGTGGGGATGTGAAGAGTCATTATGAGACATAAATGAATTAATATATGCCAAATGCTTAGAACAGTTTCTGACACAGGATAAATACTATTTAAATGTCAGCTGTTATCATTAAGAACTGGGGAAAGCTTCTAGTATGGGATGTTAAAAAGTTACCTAGCAGACATATTAAGTACGAGAACTGTAATAGGGTTAACATTGTCCTACCTAGCCAAAACCGGTTTGGCTCAGTGGTAGAGTGTCGATCTGCAAATTGAAAGGTCCCGGGTTCGATTCCGGTCAAGGGCATGTACGTTGGCTGCGGGCACATCCCCGGATAGGGGATGTGCAGGAGGCAGCTGGTCGATGTTTCTCTCTCATCGATCTTTCTGGCTTTCTATCTCCCTCCCTTCCTCTCTGTAAAAAAATCAATAAAATATATTTTAAAAAAAACAAAACATTGTCCTACCTCAGTGATATATCAACTTCCTACCCTATGTGATAATTTAGTTCACATAGATTTTGATTGCCTTTTCTCTCGGAAGACATCACATTGGCCCATCACATTGATGACAGTATGCTCATTGGATCTTGTGTGCAAGAATTAAAAACTACTGTACCCTTATTAGTAAGACATTTGCCTGTCAGAGGGTAGGAAATAAATCTGACAAAAATCCAGGGGCATACCACCTCAGTGAAATTTCTGCTTATCCAGTGTTTTGGGTCATGTGATGTCCCTTGTAAAGTGAAGGATAAGTTGTTGCAACTGGCCCCAACTACAATTAGAAAAAAGACACAATTCCTAATGGATTTCTTTGGATTTTAGAGGAGACATCCTTAGAGTATATGACGCTGGCCTGTTTACTGAGAGATCCAAAAGCTGCTGAATTTGAATTGAGTCTGGAGAAGAAAAGGTTCTGCATCAAATCCAGGATGCTGTGCAAGCTGTTCTGCCACCTGGGCATATGATCCAGCAGATGCGATGGTGCTTGAAGCTCATGGCAGATAGGCATGTGCTTTGGAGACTTTGGCAGGCCCCTATATATGAATCACAGCACAGACACTTAGGATTTTTGGACCAAAGTCGTGTCATCCTTTGTGGATAATTACTCTCTTCTTGAGAAACTTAACATGCTATTGGGTCTTGGTAGAGACCGAATGTTTACACATGAGCTCACCAAGTTACCATGTGATGTGAGCTGCCCATCATGAACTGGGTGTTGTCTGACTCACAAAGCTGTAAAGTTGGATATGCACAACACACTCCATGATCAAATGGAAATAGTGTATATGAGATGAGCAGGCCTTGAAAGCACAAGTAAATT